AAACTAGAGAAATATGTACAAATCAGTCGAAATGAGCGTTTTATACCACTAAAACCCCCCGAAAAACCTATGTAATAATTATAAGCGGACGGGAATCACTGGGAATCAAGAATTTCGGGAATCATGTGTACACTTCAAAAGGGAGTTATTGCCCCCTCGAAGTCAGAGGGTTTTGGAGTTTTGCGTGTTGGTCCTGTGCTCACCGTTCCATTTTGATGGTTAGGGAAAAGTTATTGCAGCTTTGTATACTTTCAGGGCAGTTGCGGAATCGACGTAGACACCCTCGGCGCCCCCTTTTCTTTGGCTTAGCCACTTACCCTGGTGGTCGGTGCCTCGCCTCGCCCCTTTTGTTTTCCAACGAGGGGAAGAAAGAAAAGGGAAAAAGGCAACTGTCGTAACGCCAACAATGACCAGTCACCGCCTTTAGAAAGGTGTGTAACGAACTCTCTCACCTTTTGTGTCCGCGCGTCCAGGCTGTGCCCGCTGCTGCCGCTGCCGCACCAGAGAGCCAAGTTTATTTTATTTCGTGACCGCTCGGACCCCATTTTCATTTTTACGTGAACGTGTGTGTAGCAAAGTCCAAACCAGGAATAGTGCCATGCCGTTTCTCTGGTAGGTACCTACCCTTTGCTCTTCCGTTTCGTCTCCAGCGGCCGGATTCGACGACTGTCCAAGACACGAAGACGGGTAAGTGGACCGACCCTTTGTTCTTTCTTCCTCGTTCCTCCTAGACGGGCACGATGTGTGTGCTCCCCAATTTCCTCCTCAATTTAAAAAGAGAGCCGGTGCAGAAAAAAACTCGACTAGTTTTAACGGTCAGGAGAATCAATATGTACACTTTCCAGGTCCAGCAGCTGTGTGAGTGTGAGCATTTGCATGGGCAGTCACAGTCACGTGTCACTGCGTGACTGTGTGTGACTATGAGAGGCTCCAGTCACGTCACGAAGGCCGACTTACAATGCGCCAAGGCTCGGAGAGCTCGGCGCGTGGGTTTTTGAGGATGGCGACGAGCGCCGGCTGAAAGCGGTTCGGGGAAAAGTCGCGAGGGAGAGAGTAACATGACTAAGGAGCGGCCGGGCCGGGCGGTCTCTCCCTCTGAGTCTAGGCCCTCCCGGCCTCCCAGACCCCCTCATTTGTGCCCTTTGATGTGTGGTCCAGGCGCCTGCCCGCTGCCGGACCCAACCTGTGTCGCACTCGAACCCCGCGCGTCGCCGCCGCCGCACGGCCGGCAGGGGCGGGGTCAACGAAATACCTTGGGGGAGGACGAGAGAGAGACAGAGCGGGAGAGGGGAGAGAAAGGGGGGGCGAGAGAGGAGAAGAGAAGGAAGGGGTCGCGGACGGGACGCCAACAGACACGCTGGGGAGGGCCGGCGGCAGAGAGGATGTCCGTCCCCAGGGAAATGTCGGGGGAGGCCGGCGAGTGGTGCATCTACCGTTACTTACCATCACGGCCTCGACCCGGCCGGACACGCTGCTGCCCAGTGGCCGAGGCCTGGCCGAGGCCGGCGCGGAGAGAGGCACTCCGCTCAAAGATACCCCTCCGGCGCCTTTTACTGCCTGCTCCGGTAAAGCAGGGGAGCAGCGGTGGCGCCCCCTGGGGGGGCACCCCCACCCACGCCCTACCCCCGCCCGCCCGGGTGCAGGAGGTTGAAACCTGCGCCCGCCCGACGTTCTTCGCGAGTACACATACTTTATTTTGAATTAAAACTTGTTTGTCCAAATCCTCGACCAGAAGGACGACGACGAGGGGGGAGAGTGCGATGAGATGAGGAGGACAAGCCCGCGCCCCGCCATGCCTGCATCGCGTGACGGCGCGCGGGTCTTACTGCTTGAG